AGAAAGGAAGAAAAAATAGCCCTAACCAATAAATTCTTTTTTTTTTTTTTTTTGAGACAGAGCCTCAAGCTGTCCCCCTGGGTAGAATGCGGTGGCATCACAGCTCACAGCAACCTCCAACTCCTGGGCTCAAGTGAGTCTCCTGCCTCTACCTCCCAAGTAGCTGGGACTACAGGCGCCCATCACAACACCTGGCTATTTTTTTGGTTGCAGCCATCGTTGTTTGGCGGGCCCAGGCTGGACTCGAACCCGCCACCTTAGGTGTATGTGGCTGGTGCCTTAGCCACTTGAGCCACAGGCACCGAGCCAATAAATTCTTTACATTTGTTTCTCTGTAGTGGTCCTGAACCAAAGCCCCTAATAATTCAGGATCTAAAACTAAACTTAATCCACGCTTAAAGAGAAGTCAGTCTTGTAGTAAAATAGGATTAGTGAAGTACAGAAGTGGCTACAAATATGTAAAGTACTTCCTCTACACTGTTACCCAGATAAAAATAAATATAATGGGCTCCCCCAGCACCATGAACTTAATGAAAAGTATATCCCCCTAGAGTTTAAGCATTTCCAAACTTACTAGTAGATTCATAGGGACTGTGAACATTTTCCAAGTGGCACTGGAGCTGGAAGGGAGTAGAAAACTGGCGGTAACAGTGCTGGCAGATAGTATGACCATCCACCTCACCATTCTGCTGATCAAGCTCTACATGGTGTTTCATGTGGTTCATGAATCTGTTGCATAGCACAAAGTACAGAAAACATAAAAAATCAGTAGCCTTTGAGAAATATAGTGGTAGAATCACAGAATAAGTATCATTTGCTCCATTCCACCCCCAAATTTCCTTTGTTTGGGATAGTCCTTTCCTCAGCTCATAAAGATAATGGGTTCTTGAAACAAGAGCATTCTATGGAAGGAGATGCACTAGTTTCCCTTATTCTACTTAATGTTATCTTCTACCAATATTACCACAGTATCTCCTTCTAGAGTACTAGCTATTGATTTAATGATAACCCCCAGCAAGACTGTATAAGGGTCCATTCTCCAAAGAGGAAAGTTCTTCAACACTTACCGAATGTTGTTTTTTAGCCTTTTGGTACAATGTGGGCATCGGAAAGATGTGGCAACCTTAGGGAAGTTGGAAAGCTGGGCTACTTTGCCACCATCCCGTCCATAGTAGAAGTCATCTACAAGCATAATGAGCTTGGTCTGGATGGCATCACCCACATTCTCATTTGGCTCTGGTACTTTGGTTGGTGGTGACAGAGCAGGAATAGGTGTAGAAGAAGGTGTGGAAGCAACAGGAGCTGTTTTTTCAGGGGATGCAGGCTTTGCTGTAGAAGGGACACTGGGTTCTGAATCCAGAGACTTTCCTTTCTTCTGGTATTCAACCATTTCTGGGCAACAGTACTATAAAGACAGACATCTGATCATTCTGGTTATCTTGGAGGCTAGAATATGTTTAACGTCACTAAATTCCTTGCTAAGTTTGGTTCTAGGTATTCTCATGAAGCTTTCACTCTTCAGTTTTCTAACATATCCATGTTTCACGCATTTTCTAGTATATGCCCACAACCATATGCTACCCCAAGCTCCATACCTTGTACTTCTCCCTCCCTTCTACCCTAACCCTAATCCCTTAACCACTTACTAGTATAGTTTGGCTCTGAGCTCCCTGGCAAAAAGAGGTTTCAACCTTTGCATTAGGACTAATACCAAAAAAATGAAAAAACTAAAAAATGGGAACAAGGTAACAGCTCCTGATTTATCCAATGACACGATTAGCAGAAAATGAACTGAGGCCGATGTGATTTGAGTTTTTATTATCTACAAACTGCTCTCCTGTGTGGTTTCTTTTTGAGACGGAGCCTCAAGCTATCCCCCTGGGTAGAGTGTAATGGCATTACAGTTCACAGCAACCTCCAACTCCTGGGCTCAAGCAAGTCTCCTGCCTCAGTCTCCCAAGTAACTGGGACTACAGGTGCCCGCCACAACGTCTGGCTATTTTTTGGTTGCAGCCGTCATTGTTGTTTGGTGGGCCCAGGCTGGATTTGAACCCGCCACCTTAGGTGTATGTGGCTGGCGCCTTAGCCACTTGAGCCACAGGCGCCAAGCCTAAGGTAGTAAGCTCATATATTAGAGGCTCTTAAAATGTATCCTATTATATTCCCAAGTACATAGACCAAGAGAGAAAGCAACCCTCTAAAACACTTCCCAGTCATTTCAGAGCCCCTGTTTTGAGAGCTTCCTATTATACTGAAGGTATATACACAATGCCCACTTAAGCTGGATCACTATCAGAGGTCGCATCACTTACACACATGTGGCCTCTCAGAGCTTCAGTAACGCGAAACTGAGCATTACATCGGGGGCATATTTTCCGTCCACCATCCTGAGGTTCAAACACTGGGGCAGAAGAGGTCACTGGAAGAAGCAAAAAGAACTGATAAGATTAATACAATGATACTGGGAAAAGGTCACTAACCTTTGGGATAAGGTCAAACACTCCCTGAGAGATGTATCAAAGGGTTAAGAAAGCAGGAGCTAAGAGAAACATTCCTTTTACTGTTTTTCTAGTTCTAAGCCAAGAATTGAGAGACCACAGCCAGCAGACCAAATGCAGCCCAGCTGCCAGTTTCTATCTGGCTGATATGCTAAAACTTTTACAAGGTTAAGAAAAACTGTGGTAAAATATACATAACAAAATTTACCATCTTGGCTCAGCACATAGAGCTCAGCGGCTAGGGCACCAGCCACCTACACTGGGGCTGGCAGGTTCAAACCCAGCCCGGGTCTGCCAAACAACAACTACAACAACAACAACAAAAAAAAATAGCTGGCTGTTGTGCCGGGTACCCGTAGTCCCAGCTACTTGGGAGGCTGAGACAAGAGAATCGCTTAAGCCCAAGAGTTTGAGGTTGCTCTGAACTGTGATGCCACAGTACTCTACCCGGCCCAGGGCGACACAGTGAGACTATCTCAAAAAAAAAAAAAAAAAAAAAAGAGGGCAGTGCCTGTCACTCAAGGAGTAGGGCGCTGGCCCCAGCCAAAAACTGCAAAAAAATAAAATTAAATTAAAATTAATAATTTACCATCTTAACCATTTTGCACCTTAGTATTATTAAAATTCATTTATAATCTCACGCAAGCAATCTCTACAACTCTTCATCTTGCACAACTAAAACTCTACTCCCACTAAAAAACCCCTCTCTATTTCTTCCTCCCCCCATACTCTGTCCACCACCATTCTACTTTCTCGTTCCTATGAATTCAACTACTTTAAGTACCTCATGTAAGTGGAATCATGGAGTATATTTGACCTTTTGTGACTAGCTTATTTTGTTTAGCATAATGGCAAGGTTCAATCATGTTGTAGGATGGATTTCCTTCCTTTTAAAGCATGAACAATATACCACTATATGTGCATACAACATTTTCTATTCTTTTTAGACACAGAGTCTTACTTTATCACCCTCAGTAGAGTGCTGTAGCATCATAGCTCACAGCAACCTCCAACTCCTGGGCTTAGGCGATTTTCTTGCCTCAGCCTCCCAAGTAGCTGGGACCACAGGTGCCCACCACAGCACCCGGCTATTTTTTTATTGCAGTTTGGCCGGGGTCTGGTTTGAATCCACCACCACTGAGCCACAGATGCCATCCCTCCCCTTTTTTTTTTTTAAATCCATTCATCAGCTGATAGACACTTTGGTTGTTTTCACCTTTCTGCTACTGTGAACATGTATAAAAATCTGTTCTAGTCCTTGCTTTCAATTCTTTGTGTACAAACCCAGAAGAGGAATTCTTGGAACATAGGGTAATTCTATTTTTAATTTTTTGAGGAATCACTACCTTGTTTTTTCAAAAGTGGCTGCTTCGGCTCGGCACCTGTGGCTCAAGTGGCTAAGGCGCCAGCCACATAACCTAAGGTGACAGGTTCAAATCCAGCCCCGGACCGCCAAACAACAATGACGGCTGCAACCAAAAATTAGCCAGGGGTTGTGGCAGGCGCCTGTGGTCCCAGCTATTTAGGAAGCTGAGGGAGGAGACTCGCTTGAGCCCAGGAGTTGGAGGTTGCTGTGAGCTGTGATGCCATAGCACTCTACCCAGGGGGATAGCTTGAGGCTCTGTCTCAAAAAAAAAAAAAGTGGCTGCTTCATTTCATATTCCTACTAAAAGTGCATAAGGATTCCACTTTTTCCACATCCTCACTACTAAGTTTTCTCTACTCTAATGGGTATGAGATGGTATCTTACTGTGGTGGTTTTTTTTTAAGATAGAGCCTCAAGCTATCGCCCTGGGTAGAGTGCTGTGGCATTACAGCTCACAGCAACCTCCAACTCCTGGGCTCAAGTGATTCTCCTGCCTCTGCCTCCCAAGTAGCTGGGACTACAGGCACCCGCCACAACGCCCGGCTATTTTTGGTTGCAGCCATCATTGTTGTTTGGCGGGCCCAGGCTGGATTCGAACCTGCCAGCTCAGGTGTATATGGCTGGTGCCTTAGCAGCTTGAGCCACAGGTGTCGAGCCCCTTGCTCATTTCTAAATTGAGTTATTTGGATTTTTTTGTTGTTGAGTATAGGAGTTCTTTACATATCTGGATATTATCCCTTATCAGATACACTCTTTGTAAATAAGTTCTCCCATTCTGTGGGCTGCCTTTTTAACTCTGTTGATAATATCCTCTGACAAAAGTTTTCAATTTTGATATAATTCAACTTACCTATTTTTTTCATTTCTTATCTATGCTTTTGGTATTGTATCGAAGAACCAGAAATCACTGTCAAATCCAATACCAATTTTCTTCTAAGAGTTCATAGTTTTAGTTCATATGTTTAGGTCTTTGATCCACTTTTGAGATTTTTGTATTTGGTATAAAGTAAAGGGCCAGCTTCATTTTTTTGGATGTGGATATCTAGTTTTCCTAATACCATCTGTTAAAGGTTTTTGTTTTTCAATGGTTGAAATAAAAATAAAAGGGCCAGGCGAGGTGGCTCATGCCTGTAATCCTAGCATTTGGGGAGGCCGAGCCAGGTGGACTGGACTGCCTAAGCTCACAGGTTTGAGACCAGACTGAGCAGGAGCAAGACCTTGTTTCTAGAAATAGCCGGGCATTGTGGCAGGCACCTGTAGTCCCAGCTACTTGGGAGGCTGAGGCAAGAGAATCACCTAAGCCCAGAAGTTGGAGGTTGCTGTGAGGTGTGTGATGCCATGGTATTCTACTGAGGATGAAAAAGTGAGACTCTGCCTCAACCAAAAAAAAGAAAAGGAAAAAAAAAAAAGAAATCCACCTCTCCCATGAAGTTATCTATAATTATCCCAGCCGTCTCCAATCAGTCAATCCATTTCACTAATACCAAAAGCACAGTGGCTATCCTATATACTTCACTAAAGTTTCTGTGAGAGCAGATTAGAGCAACTATATCCTACTTTATTTCCTTATTTCAGGGTATACAGTTCTGATCTAAAATAATTTATTAATATTTGAATAACTAGCTGCTCAGGGTCTTTCAGGTTATTGTACCTTTCATTGAAGACTCAGGTCCGCTGGTTCTTTGAGAGCCATGGGCAGAGCTGTTGTTGGATATCCCCACTGGCCCAGGACTCTGGCCCAGAGAAGGGATGGTGTTAAGGGTATTCACCAATTTAGCCACTTCATTGCTATTTTCACCTGTAACGCCAGGTCGCTTCACAGTGACAAAGCTGGCAATACTCACTGCAGGTGGAGAGGGGAAAGAGGGAGCTATGATGACCAAGTGATAATCATCTATTCTCCACCCACCACCCCATCCTAGCTCTGCCATCTCCTCTTCCCAAGCCTTACCTAGCTTAGGGTTCGTGGTCTGGCTGGATTGGCCTGCAGGCTGAACAGCTAGTTGTCCCAGTGAGGTTGGCTGCGTGGCAGTGGGGGTGGTGGACGTGCTGGGAGTGGACTTGGTCTGCTGGGACTGGGACTGTGGGACGGTACTTCGAATGGTGAGAGTGGCTGGGATGACAGTGGTGAAGGTGTTGGTAGTGGGTCTCACAGGCATTGTAGAGCCTGGCCTCACTGGGGTCATCTGAGAGAACACTTGTGGGACTCCAACTGTTGGCTTAACAAACTGGGTACCTGGGGCTTTAAAAGAGAGACAAAGTACCAAATCTTGGTCAGTGAGCTCACCTATAATACATTCTCCTTGCCTCTATTGGGAATAGTAGAATAGGAAAAGATTATTTCTCCAAACAGATGGGTGATCACCAGAGATTACCAAGAATAGTGAAGATTCTAGGTCTAAGAAAGCAACAGGTTTCCAAACTGACAACAGACATTAGTCTAGGTAACCTAAAACAGTAAATTCAGGATTTCTATCAATTCTTCCCCCAAAAAACTTTCATACTGCCTTTTTTATTCTAAAAATACAATCAGCAACTTGACCTTAACACCAGAAGAGAAAGAGCGGGAGGTAGTGTGTGGGTATATACGGGTCAAATGGCAGATTTGGTCCTAAAAAAAAAAAAAAGAGTTCTTTCTTAGAATACTAAAAGAGCCTTCCATTCTTTGATATAAACTCCAGTAGAAGACAGACTATACCATTCTACTAAGATATCTCAAAGGAGAATGCCTCCTGACTCAAGCAATTCCACTGAGAAGTATTTAAGAAATACCAGAATGTGACAGGGTAAACTGGTCAGACTGTAGACCCCCAAAACCCCTGTGGGCTCTGAGTACAAATAGCCAACAACCAGCCAGGTGTGGTGCCTAAGGGCTGTAATCCCAGGTACTCAGAAGGCCTAGAGGCTGAGGCAGAGTGTTACTTGAGGCCAGGTGTTTGAGACTAGCCTGGGCAACAGAGTGAGAAAACTAATATACACTAAATAAAGAAATGACGTAAAATTACAAGATTTTTTTTTTTTAAGAGACAGAGTCTTACTTTATCACCCTCGGTAGAATGCCGTGGCATCACAGCTCACAGCAATCTCCCACTCCAGGGCTTAGGCGATTCTCTTGCCTTAGCCTCCCAAGTAGCTGGGACTACAGGTGCCCTCAACAATGCCCGGCTATTTTTTTTGTTGCAGTTTGGCTGGGGTTGGATTCAAACCCACCACCCTCAGTGTATGGGGCTGGCGCCCTACCCACAGTGCCATAAGCACCGCCTAGAAAATTACAAGATTTTAAAAAATTGACTTGGCGCCTGTGGCTCAAGTGGCTAAGGCGCCAGCCACAGACACCTAAGGTGGTGAGCTCGAATCCAGCCTGGGCCTGCCAAATACAACAACGGCTGCAACCAAAAATATAGCCGGGCACTGTGGCTGGTGCCTGTGGTCCCAGCTACTTGGGAGGCTGAGGCAGGAGACTCGCTTGAGCCCAGGAGTTGGAGGTTGCTGTGAGCTGTAATGCCACGGCACTCTGCCCAGGGGGACAGCTTGAGGCTCTGTCTCAAAAAAAAAAAAAAAAAAAAAAAAGGTTAGCCATGTAACAAAAACATCTTTATCTCTTTAATATTTTGAAATTAAAAAAAAATACTAAGTCATTGGTAGTATATCCACAAAGGGTATGTCATTTGTTTAATTTATACTTAAAAATCTGTACTATAGGCTCGGTGCCTATAGCTCAACCGCCTAAGGCGCCAGCCACGTACACCTGAGGTGGCGGGTTCGAACCCAGCCCGGATCCGCCAAACAACAATGACAGCTGCAACCAAAATAAATAGCCGGGCGTTGTGGCAGGCGCCTGTGGTCCCAGCTACTTGGGAGGCAGAGGCAGGAGACTCACTTGAGCCCAGGAGTTGGAGGTTGCTGTGAGCTGTAATGCCACGGCACTCTGCCCAGGGGGACAGCTTGAGGCTCTGTCTCAAAAAAAAAAAAAAAAAAAAAAAAAATCTGTACTATAAAATTATAATAAAATAAAGTTCACAATACGATCATGGGGGTGAGTAGGTGTGTAAGGAGCACAGAATTTAGAAGTTCTTTCAGGATAACAAGCCCAATAGCTGGTTAATACCAGTTACAGAAAAGTGACTACAAATTCTGTTTTACTATCTTATGAAGGACAGTGAAAAAGTAAACAGAAAAATAAAACTCACTACATCACCCTGGCCAAATATTAAAAATAGTTTATTAAAAACTGACCTTTAATCATTAAGATTTTATGTTTTAAAGTTTTCTTTAAGTACACTTTTTTTTCATACCAGGGGAAAGCGCGAACGCAGTCCCCCACTACCACAAATTATGCAGTCGAGTTTCCCACATTTGGGGAAATCGCAGGGGTCAGCACATCCGGAGTGCAATGGATAAGCCTCGCCCTGGGAAAACCACCTTCATGATCATGGTATCTCCCCTCCCAGGTAAGTATTAAAGTTTTCTTTAAGTACACTTTTTAAATGACCTAGAGTATTTTGAAGCAGTAAAAACAAATCTTCCAGATGCCAGTTCATTCTAAATAGACAGATATACTTCCTTACCTGGGACTAAGGTAATCGGTCTGACCGTCTGGCCCTGCTGCACATTCAGCACTATCCCAACCTGATTCATTGCATTTTGCACAGGCCGGACATTCCTCACAGGAAACCCCTGTTGTTAAGAAGCAAAAGAATCTTTAACATGGAGACCAACTAACACTAGCAGAGATTAACTATGACTTATATCCAAAAAGTTTCCCATACTACTATTTAATAGTTCTCTCTCCAGAGTCAGAGCTTTTAATGACTGAGATAGATAAATTTAGGAAATTTTATCACATTTTTGAGTGACAAAGTATCAAACCAGAGAGGAGGCTTTGGTACATATGAGCAAAAAGGAAAAATTACTTCCTGACTTAGAGCCTCAGCTTAAAAAAACCTTATTCACAGACTGGTCCCCTAAACTGCTAAAATCATAGAAGAGAAAAAAATAACAATAAAGACGTTAATGGTATTATATTAACTGGAATGATTTAAGATATAAAGAAATTGTTCCCAAAGTCTACTTCAAAGACTACAAATCTCTGGCAAAGAGATCTGTAACTCAGGAAGAAGAGTTTTTTTTTTTTTTTTTTTGAGACAGAGCCTCAAGCTGTCCCCCTGGGTAGAGTGCCGTGGCATGACAGCTCATAGCAACCTCCAACTCCTGGGCTCAAGCGAGTCTCCTGCCTCTGCCTCCCAAGTAGCTGGGACCACAGGCGCCCGCCACAACGCCCGGCTATTTTTTGGTTGCAGCCATCATTGTTGTTTGGCAGGTCCGGGCTGGGGATTCGAACCTGCCACCTTAGGTGTACGTGGCTGGCGCCTTAGCCGGTTGAGCTACAGGCGCCGAGCCAGGAAGAAGAGTTTTAACTTTGGAAGCCATGAAGAGAAATCTTTGCCTTTAGAATCTACATTTAGAACCTGGGGCTTTCAACTTCAATTTATCATACTATATACCAAATAAGTTATCTTCTTTACCTTCCAAAGATCTCCATGCACTTCGCCAGTTTCACATACAAAGTTCCAAAAGTCAACTAACTTACCCCATGTGAAGAAAAGCAGTCCATAGGGTGAGCAGCTGTGAAAGCCAAGTGTTAAGGCTTCCTAATCCAAGCTTTCCTGTTAATTTCTGTCTGGATCTTTAATCAAATCACTTAATGAACTTTTTTTTCTTTTGAGACAGAGTCTCATTATGTTGCCCTCAGTAGAGTGCTGTGACATCACAGCTCACAGCAACCTCAAACTCTTGAGCTTAAGATTCTCCTGCCTCAACCTCCCAAGTAGTTGGGACTACAGGTGCCCACCACAACACCCAGCTATTTTTTGTTTCAGTTGTCATTGTTGTTTAGCTGGCCTGGGCTGGGTTCAAACCCACCACTCTTGGTGTATGTGGCTGGTGCTGTAACCACTGTGCTATGGGCACCGAGCTCATTTAAAGAACTTCTAAGGGGTATGAAGAGGAAATTACCTAGCCATGATACTACTGGGATTTCTACAGTCAGCATCAAATTACAAAATAGCAAATGAGAAAGCCAGGCCACGAGACAAAATTTGGAAACATTCCTTCTTTTTTTTCTTTTCTAATTTTTTTTAAAGGCTAGTCAAGTGAAGCAGAGGGGATGAAGAAAGAATAAAGGAATCTAACTGATTATAAACAATTAGTTATAGACACACCACTGCTCTCAGAACTATTCCCAATGATCCCAAAGATCCTAAGTCAGAACCTCCAGAGGTTCACATAGTCTTTCTCTCCTCCACCAATCCTAGAATTCTTAGTCCTACTCACCTGTGTAGTGATAAATATTGGTTGTGAGGCCACAGGGGAACTAGTCACATGATTGGCATTCTGCATGACCTGGACAGGCCTTAATACTGGTTGAGTAACCACCGTGCTCAGACCTGGGGCCGGATTCTGGGTCAAGATGAGCGGCTGTCCACTTTGTTGGACCAAAGGATTGCCAGCTACAGGTAAAAGAAAGGGGGAAGATGTTAGAAACAATGTTAAACACATGTTTTAGAAGAAATATTATAATCTTCTAAGAAATAGCATTCCAGATATCAAAATATCCAAAACCGCCATTTGCCTCAGCTTTAATGTTATCAAGCTCATCAGAAAATTTAAGCCTCACTCAAATCTACAACAAAAACACAGGCGGGTGAGGGAGTTCACTAACGTCTTACCTGTATGTCTTAATTAGGGATAAAAGATACATTCACACTTCTGTGTTGGCCATCACCTTGACTCTGATGACTGAAGTGACCACATATCACACAACCTCCCCACACCAAATCAGCAGAAACCAAAGAATATGTAAATCTTTTTGTCAGAATATAATTTGTTGTTAGCAAATCCCAATTTTTTTAAAAAAGGAATATTCATCAACAAATATCAATTCAGTATATACAAAAGACTGTAAGTTATCTCTTCCTAGTGAGTCAAATCTGAGAAATGTAAACAGAGACTCTAAGCAAACATTGTCTTTGATAGGTGTGGGAACAGAGACTGATAGTCTACCTACCTTCTTTCTTATTAAGACTCAGTCAAAAACTAACCCACACCAAGGGAAAATGATACGGCTTAAGAAAGTGGTTCATTAGTGAATAAAGGTTAATGAACTGTGCTACTTATTATTGAAATACATTATTTTCATTTGTGGGAAAAGTTTTACAATTTTTCTTTCAAGTCCTCTATTTTATTATGTTTGGTTTTAAAAAATCATTAATAATATTGTTTCCTGATTTATAAAAAAATACTCAGATGAAATATTTCAGAGAGCTAATAAACCTAAGCTAGATTCAAGCAAAATACTGCCTTAACTTCTTTTTTGTTCTCAGTGCCTTTTACTGCTTTGCAGCAGAATGCCCAACACCAAACATAACTACAAATATTCAGTTGTGCAAAAAAGAAGCTAGTGCTTAAGTACAAAGGCGGAACATGATTGTTTTGCTTTACATAAATACTTAAACACAACTCGGCTCCTATGATGATTTGGACTCTAGTTCTGAGCAGCAAAATGCCTCTCTTGTAGGCCCAGAGTGAAGTTATGATTTCCCTCCCTCCAACAATCAATACACAGAATCAGCTGCCAATGGTTAGACAAGCTCACAGTGAGCCCCTTTTCCAGAGTCTTCCCCAGACCTCTACAGACATGATTTGGCCAGGACAGATGACTGGAATTTCTTGAAGGTCAATAGTCCTGGAGAGCTAAATATTCTACATAATCACCATGGTCCCCATTTCTCCCACTGGTGAGACAGAAGCACTTAGATGATTTTCTTCAGCTGGGTATGATGGCTCATGCCTGTAATCCCAGCAGTCTGGGAGGCCAAGGCAGACGGATGGCCTAAGCTCTTGAGTTTGAGACCAGCCTGAGCTAGAGCGAGACTCTCATCTCTTTAAAAAAAAAAATAGCCAGGCGTTGTGGTGGGTGTCTATGGTCCCAGCTACTTAGAGGCTGAGGCAAGAGAACTGCATGAGCCCAAGAGTCTGAGGTTGCTGTGAGCTATGATGCCACGCACTCTATGAGGGGCAACAAAGTGAGACTCTTTCTCAAAAAGAAAAAAGATTTTCTTCAGCTCACTGTATGGGATTAGCAACAGGAAGGCTTCTCCCATGCCTCTGAGGATGTTGGACCACATGCCCTTGAAGAAGGCTTTGTAGCTTTTGTCTGTGAAGATCTCCCTCTAATAATCGAGGGTGCCTATGTACGTGACATCAGCTCCTTTCTGCCCAGACTACATCTTTATCCTCTGCTGCATGGTATCTCAGGGATGAGACTTTATGAAAGCAACAGCTGTCATGGTTTGGCTATAAGCTCAGCACAGTGCAGGTGTTCTTGGGTCAGGGGAGCATGCTTCTGGCCTCCCTGTAGATGACAATGCCCTATACCAAAACGCTGAAGTGCTGATATGGGCCCCAGATCCTGTCAGACTTGGTGGTCTTCACTAGTGTCCCAGGCCGTTGAAGTCTGTGCCTGGCTCCCCAACGTTAGCAGCCAGGCAAGTTCTGGTAAAACCCAGTGGGCAGACAGAGCAGAGTGAGGTGGCCCTGGCCATCCCTCTGGAGGCCAGGTTGCCTGAAAAATACCTCCAGAGCTGCCTGTACCTATTCAGGCCCACCAGGAAATCCTATTTGTGCTAACCCCTGAAGGCTAAGTTGGGGTTTCATGGGGGCTTGCATGGGGAAGCAGCAAATGATATTGGCCAGGTTGCCCCTCCGGAGGACAGCATGCCTTCCTGGGGATGCAGAGGACGCCATCCATGATGCCTCTGTACTGCTTGTAGACCATGATCTGTTTGCTGGCATGTTGCATCTGCAGCAGCAGCTTGACCTATTCAATGGGAGCCATGCCCATCTTGCGGACAGTGATGGTGATACCTCTGACCAGGAAGTCTTTAGGAAAGGAGATAGCCTGTTCTGTCATGGTGGCTGGGTAGGCATCAGAATGGTCAAAGAGCCAGAGAGTGGGCACTATTGGCTCAGCCCAGCCACTACTGAGACTAAAAGGCTGCCTCAATTTTTTCATCCTGAATCATCAGAATGGGATGGGCCCCTCTTAAATGAATGTTCTACTTGACAGATGACGTCATTAACTGCCAAAACTAGACCACAAAAGAATGAGTAGGTAGGTGGCTTTTAATGTGTCTACAGTTGCTTGTCCTACACTCTCCCAGAAATTAAGGACTGCTCAGTGGACAGATCCTCATTAATGAGCCAGCAGACCAGTGCTTGTAGAGGGTAAACAGATAAACAAAACAAAATATCCCAAAAAGTTCTATTTATGGTAATTAGCAGTTCATTGACCATTATTTTAAAATTTATGTTTTATTATGGTGAAATTCAAAATACACAAAAATAGAACACTATAATAAACCTCCATTTACCCATCAACCATCTTCAGCAACAATCAATTCATGGTCAATCTTACTTCATTTATTATCTTTTAGCCACTTATAATTTCCAGATTATTTTGAAACAAGTTCTGGTTCATAACATCTGCAAATATTTTAATATGTATCTCTATATAAGGTAAGAACTTTAAAAGAAGAATCAGACTACCATTATCATTCCTAAAATTTGTAGTAGTTCTTCAATATCAAATATTTAGTCAGGACTCAAATTTGTAATTTTTTTTTTTTTTTTTTGGAGACAGGGTCTCATTTTGTTGCCCCCCTCCGGGTGGAGTGCCAGGACATCATAGCTCACAGCAAGCTCAGGCTCTCAGGCTCAAGCAATTCTCCAGCCTCTACCTCTGAAGCAACTGGAGACTACAGGCGCCAGCCACAATGCCAGGCTATTTTTTAGAGGCGGGGTCTCACTCTACCTCAGGTGGTCTCCAACTTGTGAGCTTAGGCCTTGGCCTCCCAGAGGACTAGATTACAGGTGTGAGACACAATGCCCGACCCAATTGTCTGTATTTTTAAAAGAGTTTGTTTGAATCCAGTTGCAAAAGGGCTACAAACTACAATTGATGGATAGAACTCTTAAGTCTCTTTAATCTACAGGTTGCCCAAACATCTCTTTTTAGCTTTGAAATTTGTGGCTCAAAAATACTGATTAAGCAAAAATGTATATCTTCTAGTCATAATTTTTAACTGGTAGGACAAAAGAAAATCAATTATCTATTTACTTCATGCCTAAAAATTCTTAAGATAATCACTGGCTCAACATCCCAATTGAGGGGGCAGCGCCTGTGGCTCAAAGGAGTAGGACGCTGGCCCCATATGCCAGAGGTGGCAGGTTCAAACCCAGCCCCGGCAAAAAAAAAAAAAAA